GGGGGGGGGGGTGGTTGTCAGCTTGTGGCTTTGTGGTCGATCAAAGGCCCTCTGATGTGCAGGGACTGCGCAGCCCCATCAAACACACTCGTTTATTTCTTCCTCCATTTGTTTATCGGCTGCCCGTCAAAATAATCGCTGCAGCCGGAACGTTCCGGAGGAGATGCCGATCGCAGTGTAAACGTTCGAGTGGACAGAGGGATTACGAGATGTACAGGAAGACAAACCGAGTGGGGGAGGTGGGGGAAAGATTCTGGAAAAATGTTTGCGACTGGATGGCCAGTCAGCACCATATTTTCTTTTTGACAAAATGCGGATTGAGCAGGATACCAAGATCTTAGACTTTCCCATTTACTGGCCAAACCGTTAAATGGTCAACTCCAGACCAGGTCAAGGCAAACAGAAACATACCCACCAATGAGCACCCGAATCCACAGGGGGTAGGGTTGCCTAGCGCTGCCAGTCACTGCCGTGGTTGTAGTAATTGGGAGCCAATGAGCAGTGCGAGGTTGGTGATAAACAGCACACAATAATCCCTCCCACGGTGGGGTTTCACACCTGACTTCTCCCATCATTCCTCAGTAGCACAAGCGCAAGCCTCACATGAGTGAAGCTGTCTTGAGAAATAATCCTCTTCTTAGCAGTACTAAGCTGACAGCCGGTGGAATCTCACTTGTTCTGCATGCGCTGCGTGTTGCTCTTCGGTGTGGCCCATATATGTGGATGCCTGTGACATGTGTACACGTCCTAGCGTCTTTGTCACCTTGGCGATAATTTCCACGGGAACCACCCCAAATAAACCAATAGGGGCTTAGGATGTACGGGCCCCTGATGGTACATCATTCCTCCAGATGCTGAGGATGGGGTACTTCCAGCCTGTGGACCCCCCCAGCAACATCTGTTTCCCATCCCAAGAAACGTATCGAGTCTCTCAAATTAGGTAATTAATTAGGCCAATTAAGTGATTTAGAGGACAGATGGAATGAAATCCAGGCGGCTGCCGAACTCTAGAGGGAGGCTGTTGATCAGGGGTAATTTAGCTGTAAGGATAGCCGACTGATGTGCTGCTGTTTCCCCCTAGTGTTCAAATGTGGAAGTGCGAGTGAAAGAATGAGTGGCCATTCGACAGCAACTGTGCAGATGCCGTAACTTGTAATGAGGAAAAGGTAAATCTGAAATAGTTAAAAAATACATCAGAAGAAGCACAATGTATTTATACAGCCATCTTTGTAGCATTTAATGTGCGTTTGGTTGTTATTTTACTTTTTTTGTTGCGTAAACAATATTCCCGGCGTAAACAATACCACCAGCCCATGAGCTGCCCTCCGTGATGATCCAGTATTTGCAGCAATTGTCTGACATAGTCCTGAGTCAGAGCAAAGCCAGCCGGAATGCATTTCACATGAATTAACGCATCAGCTTATATCCGTGAAGCACGCCACACTGTTTCAACTGATGCAGGAGAAACACTGCAATGTCAGGCAGGTCGAACAGGTACCTACACAAAGCCGTCTACACTACTCAAAACATTAATATTTCCCAACGCGTCAGACCAAGATAGAAGTAAGAGCCGTGTCAGGGTCAGCACCTGTCTGTCCCAGCCTTTCGTGTCGCTTCCCCGGTTGGCCAGCAGGTGTCGCTGGCCATCCTGTTCCTCCTCATTGTTGCATGGGTCAATATGCTGAGTGCGCCACCACTAACCCCTCTGTCGTGTGTGAAAATCCCGCTTCCTCTGTTTTTGTATTTTGCAGATTTTTGTTCCATAGTGTTTCATTTGTATCAGTTTTTCTAGTTCCTGTGTCTTGTGATTTGTATTCGGTTTTGGTTTCCTGCTTTGTGCCCATGGTTGTGCTTCACCTGTCTTTGTTATTCCTCAGTGTTAGATTCTGTTTCTTAGTTTTTCTCTCAGTTTCTCAGTTCCTTGATTTAATAAGTCGTTTCACCCGTTGCCCATTTTGCCAGCCCTTGTTAATTGTTCCCACCTGTCCTGTGTTATTCTTGCTGGCCTCTGTATATAAATCCTGATCCTGTTCTGCTCCGGTGTGGAGTCATTGTTTATGATATTTTGTTTGATGGTGTTCTGGTTTACCGTGTTATTGCTAGTTTTTGATTCCCTGCCTGTTCTCTGCGTAACCAGTTTCCCTTTGTAGATTATTCTGTTCTGTTAGTGACTTTGTACCCCTTTATAGTTTTGACCCCTTGTGGTCTGTCTGTTTTGTAGTGTCTCCTAGTGTTCTCATGTGCTGTTAATAAACCCCTTTTGTTTTGCAGAGCTGCCAGTGGATCGTCCACCTTTCCCTGCCTGCACCAGGCCACGCCCCCGTGGCAGAAACCCCCCCATATTGTGACAAGCGGATTAAACTACAGAGATCGTGCATCATGAAAAATGGGAATGTTCCCTCATTAATTCAGAAAAACTGAAAAAATATCACTCATAAAAACAGGATGATTATCTTGTTATTTCAGAAAAACAGAAAATATTACTTGTAAAAACAGGATGATTGTGTCATTAATTCAGAAAAACAGAACCAATTTTTTTTCCTAGATGAATGCAATATGCTTTCGTAGTACAGAGTTTCAGCTGCCGTTTTTCATAGATTTCAGGCCAGCTCAGTTTCCTGGTGAATATGTCAAACTAAAGCCACAGTGTTAACAATGATTTTATTTCCAATTTACACCAGTATAAATGCAGGTATATTGGAATGTTTCTTTTCATGTATCCCATCGTGAAATATACACACACACACACACACACACAATGTTTTCCAATCCAGTCCTCGGCGACCCAAAGATAATCCATGTTTTTGCTCCTTCCCAGCTCCCTGTAGGCAGCAAAAATGTAGACTGTCTGGCAGGGAGGAGGAGGAGGAGGGAGCAAAAACATGGACCATCTGTGGGTCCCTGAGGACCGGATTGGGAAACACCGATGTAGGCAGTTGAGAGTGAAGCCTGGGGTCTGGTCACAGGCTCAGCCATTTATCCAGCAACCTGTAGCATTTCAGGGGTTAAGGGCCTCTCTCAGGGGCCCGATGGACATGTGACTATTCTGCTCACAACGGTATTTGAACCAACCTTCCAATCGCAATGGAGGCTTACCCCGCTGAGCACACAAAACTCCCCTGAAAACATATTTGTTTCTACCCGCTTTTGAACTGGAGACCAGTGATTACATGATAACCACCACACTACAGAAACCAGCCATTGCGTTATAATACTCTCTAAAGGATCCAGATATGTTTTACACGCAGTTGTTTGTTCCTACCATCACCTCATCATCCATTACCCCCAATCTAAGCCTGGGATTTGGCTTTAAAAAATCTGTACATACAAATTGTGCAAAGTATCTATATGATTACTGCAGTTCTTATGATGCAGTATGAAATTAACCACAGGGTCCATGTGACAGACTTGGGCCAATGAGAAACAGGTCAGTTTGCAATGAAAACAATAAATGGATATTTTGATGCTGTGTGGGAGTATATTTCTGAAACTTACTGGACTAAATCGATCGGATCATCGCTTCCCTGCACCTGTATGCCAAGTAATATATTTTTATTACCAGTGATGATAAACATTGCAGAAACATACCAGCTTTCAGCATGCCCTAACCACCTCATTCATACTCCTTAGCGTGTTAATAATCTGAACTGCAATTCCCCCAACTTTCTCGGTGTCTTAACCCTTCCTGCTTCTTGCTGTAGTTTTCTGTTTACTTGCTTGAGTTTCGATTTTGCTTCCTTGTGTTTCAGGAGGTCAGCAGAATGGAACGTTTTCATCCCCACTTTAACTTCCCGTTTTTGTGTTTATACATCACAAGTTCTATTTGTGAGGCCGGTTATTGTTTAGAAATACTTGTTTCTTCTTCCCAGCATTGGAGTAAGACAGGAAAGTACAAACCTTTAGCGTGCTCCCCCAAAAAGAAAATGACAGCTGAAAGAGTCTCAGAGTGGGAAGCAGAGGACTGGCTGATTTCACGCCCGTGTCCGTGCTGAGATCGCTCCCCTCCAGCTGTGCCCTTGGTCCTCCTAGTCCAGAGTGTATATATTGTCTTCCACGGGTCTCCTGGTCTGAATCTCCCAGATGATGTGACGGGGTTCTCTACCTGCCAGACTGGGGACGCCGCCATGCGGAGACACACCAGCATATCTTAAGCATCTTTGCAGTAATTAGAGCACATGTGACATTTTGATGTTTGAGAAAAGTCACGGCTGAAGGTGCAAGTCTCACCTGCCTCTGAAGGAACATCTCTGGTGAATCTTTCCTGAAGGGAAGACGGGTGTGGACAGTGTTAGCTGCAGTTACACTGTGTTACGATTACATATGTGCTGTTACAACGTGGGAGTGTGGTGTTTGGAGTAATAGAGTATTTAGAGTATTATGTAGGTCGGGGGAGGCAGTGGTGCACCATTGGTCAGTTGTGATGATGGATTTAATGGTTAGCAGGTGGGTATTGGAGTCCTTGTGATCTTGTTCTGATGGAAATGGAGGATCCATTCATTCATTTTCAACACCGGGAGAACATCCAAACTCCACACACAGAACCAGGAGGACACTCAAACCCTGGCCCCATAGGTGAGAGACAACAGTGCTAACCATTGCACCACTATGTCATGGATGGATGGATGGATGGATAATTATACAAATTGTGCCATTATTGATGATAATAATGGTGATGATTCCATGATTGCAGAGAGCACCAGTAATCAGAGGGGTGCTGTACCTACGTTTGAACCCTAGCAGAGCAACCAGACCCAGTAGCAGCAAGAAGAGGAATGAGACAGAAAGGTACAGCGCAGGGCTGTGAACACGGAGCGGGAGACTGGGAGTGGGCTCAGCATTCTGGAAGCAAAATACAAAACACTGGGGGTGAATGGAATGGGACAGGCAAGGGGTCCAGCCCATACAGGCTGCCCTCACCAGTGCCTGCGCCGTTGAAAGGCTTTAGTTAATCCCTTCTATACTCACAATGCTGCCAGCTTTGGGATGATTGGAACGAGGATTCAGAGTATATTCTTCTAGAAGAGGCAAGGGCTCAGTGTCTGGATACCTGTCTGCAGACAGAAACTACTGAAGAAGTGTGGGGTGAGACGGCGAAACGTGGGAACAGCACCGAAAAAAAAAACACCACTCTATGCTGAATCTCCATGATGCTGCACATTTCTGAGACCCTTCAATCTTGAAACATTTGAGTTTGAAAGGTTACATCTCAGAGCTGTATCCACAGGAAGGCCCCCTCCCCGAGAGAGCAGCAGACCATTGGCGTGTTTAATTTCACTTCCCACTTCCCACGAAACCCAGCATCCCAAAAAGTCTTACTGGTGACCATTGCACACAGTAGAAATTTCTTTCTGTTTTTTTTTTCACATTTTTTTCAGCAAGCTTTTTTTTGGCACCCAGAAGCAAACCTTTTGTATATGGTGGTGTTGTTTTATGCATTTAAATGTTAAATAAAATTTTTTACATGTAATCATATGTCAGTATATTTTAAATTTTACTAAAGAGCAATAAAGTTTGTAATGTGACACAATTGCCGACTTCCTTACCGGTGTAGGAATCAGATTTCTCTCCTTGGATTCCCGTTGGTGCAGGAAATGGGGTCACTGCTGAAGTTGGAAACAATCACTGTTACTTTTTCAGCTTTAACAATAACCGGCAGCAAAATGTTTCTTCTGGCCCCCTCTGGTTTGCTCAGACACAATATGATACGTGCAGTAGGCTGTGTAACATTGTGTGTGTGTGTGTGTGTGGATTAAGTTTAACCAAATGTTCCCCACAATGCAATCAAAACTTGTTATTTTGATGTTGTGGAGAACATTTCTCAGGTCCCTACAAAGATCTGCGAATGCAATCAAAAAACTAAAAATGCCAAAAGTCTCATATTTAGTTTGGTTACTTATGGTTATGGTTAGGGCAGGGTAGGGTTTAAGGTTGTATTATAGTTAGCGTTAGCATTTTTCCCATTGAAATGAATGAGCGGTCCCCATAAGGATATGTTTACCCTACGTGTGTGTGTGTGTGTGTGTCGGCTCGGCATCCAGGGTGTCCCCTGCCTTGTTCTCTGTGCTCCCCAGCACAGACCGCAGGCCCCCTGTCATCCTGTCCAGGGTAAGCGCTGCGGGTGAGGAATGCAAACCTGGCAGCCACGTACTTGTCTCTGCTCTGATATATCAGTTGCCAAGTGAAAATACTGAAAATATCACTATATTCAGTAACTTCCCAGATTTTTATTCCATCATTTCAGCTCCTGTTTCCTATTGTATATTGATTTTCATGTGTGGCTGAAATAGCTTGTGTAATGAATATTTAGCCTGAGTAATTTATACCAGTTTAGTGCGTTCTCGTCCCATCATCAGTATAACTCAAATTACTCTAATCACAACAAATTATTAAATTTGCATAACTAATTGTACTTGCTCTGCCCCAGCGGTGGCTAATTAATGCTCAGAGAGGAAGGTAGGGTCTGTAGGCTCTCACCAGCTCTTTAGTAATTAATTAACAGCAATTATCAACCACCAGTTAGTACACTGTTGTTAGACTGTGTCAGTGTAACATGCTGAACTGATGTGTAGAATGTTATACGTAATGTAAGCATCCCCCAAACACACACGTGCTGGTCGTAGAATAGGGGCATCACCAACCTTGTGTCACCCGTATGGTGTGAAGCACTTTCATGTCATTGAAATATCCATTGATGTCCACTCTGCAGCAGTACGGCCCGCCGTCTGTCCGGCTGATGTTGGCGATGGTCAGGTCTACCCGGCCCAGCCGCAGGTTGCCTGTGAGCCGGTACTTTTCCGACGCCTTGGAGATCACGCGGCTGCCGTCCATCTGCAGGATCGCACCCGAACACCAGAGGGCGCCACAGCCGCGGCCCCAGCACACGCGGCTCTGTCCGTAATGCTGGACCGAGTATCTGCAAGGCAGGGTCACTTGATCCCCTTCCATCACCTTGTGTGCCAGTGCTGAGGATCCTGGGAAGGAGGGAAAGGGAAGTTGGGCGAGTGTCTGACTGACTCTGACCCACCATGCCAATATATAAACAACTAGTGAGGCTATCCTCACCAAACATGGCAATATACAGACATGGACAAATTTGTTGGTACCCTTCCGGAAAAAAATAACTTGAAGCTGACAAAAGTTTAATGGCATCCCTAATTGTTCATTCCATATTTAACACAAATCAGACTTTTCTTTTGATTACTGATCCAGTTGAATATTTAATATAATTAAACAAATGAAAATGGTACAGACAAAAAAGATGGTACCCTTAATTTAATATTATGTGACACCACATAATATTATAGTACAACAGTACTTCATGCATCAAGCATTCCTTAACCCTAAAACATTTTGCCTAAATTTCTGAAGCAGTCTTTATAGTGATTTATCTAAATAGGTCACTGTTCTTCTGTTAGCTGCAGTTTAAAATACGTCAGTCTTGCTACCTCCCAGATAGTAATTTTTGCTGCCTCCCAGATAGTAATTTTTGCTACCTCCCAGATAGTCCCGATTTGTACTAAGATACCAGCCATTACATGCTATAAATGATTGCTGTGAACAAATTGGCAATTCAACAAGGTTGATTTATGCGCTGTATACCGTAAACTTTACGTTAAATTTAAGCATTGTTTAATTCTTTTTTTTAAAAGGTACAGCTTCTATATGAATCAAAAAATGTAAGTTTTTGTAGCATCTCAAACCTGTATTTTATAGACAATATTGATGGATGGATTTGCTGCTAAATACCTTGTGTTTATGTCACACTGCATTATATGCAATGGCAGTAACTGATGTACTAAAAATTACAAATCAACCAAATTCTTGAATTTGTTTTTTAATTTACATATGGTAGCATGCTCATATTTGTTCTATAATAATAATAATAATAATGACACTTCATTGATCCCCTGGGGGGGAATTGTCTTCTTGCCTACCCCATCTTGCTTTCCATGATATACAGATACATATATAGGTGAGAGCAAGCCTGGGGATGAGCTCAGAGTGAGGGGCCTCGCTCAAGGGCCCACAGACAAGACTAATCTATCAAGGCCAGGCCTGAACCGGCGTACTTCTGATCACAAACGCGGAGGATTAGCCTGCTGAGCCACACACTGCCCCCATTGTACGTTGCAGTGTTTTATAAATGGGCTAATGTTTTAAATGGCTGTGTCTCCAGTGCCCTGCAAAGTCCCATCATCAACGTCAAGCCTACCGATAATGTCATCCAGATAGTGTCAACGAAGCCCAGAGCGTGTAGGACCAACAAGCATCACAGCATCAATAGCATGCATTAATGTTTCTTTCATGCATCTGAACAGCAGTTTCCACCAGGATTAGCAGCCGTGGTAACATGCACTGCCGCTTTAGTAGATTAGTGTGTGTGAAAGGGCCAGCGACTGTATTACGCTTCCGAGCACTCGCCATAACCAACACTGACAGAGAAGCCGTACCTGATTACCTAAGAAGCATTAAGAGTTACCTCAACTTTACCTCAAGGCCCGGCTAGTAGTCGAAGCAAACCCGACGTTTACGAATGATCAGTGGTGCCGAAATGGCTGCTTTTTGAGTTCTGGTTAGTAGCACGTTCGGGGAGCGGATGCGGGTGTTAGAGCGGCAAAGGTTTCCGTCGGCTTCCCTGCCTGCCACGGCGACGGCGAGGATCACGAGCGGATGATGCGCGCCGGCGAGCCGCTCCATCCCGGGGAGTCCTGGACTGCGGGCTGCGGCGGCAGGGTCCCTTGCTGAATAGGCCGCTGTGTCCTGACGTTTCTGGATGTGACGTTTGCACCAGGGACAGCCGCGGCACCGTTAACCCTTCACAATAGCCCTCGGCCCAGAAAAAGGAACCTCTGTTGCTCTGTTGCTGTCGAGGGACCTCCCAGTGTCTGGCGGGGCCGCTAAACCGTGCCCCCATTGCTGGGTGTGCGCAGTCCACTGTTCTGCTAAATGCCATTCAGTCGATCAGTCTGTAACCTGCTTTATATCTCTATAAAGCTGCATGCATTCATTTGTAAATAGTGCCTAACAGCTGTTCAGTTTCTCAGTTAATGGCTCGCTGCGGGGTGTAGAAGGCTGTCTGCTGGAAAAAAGAACAAGTGGTTTATCTTAAGGAAAACATTGCGCTCCTCATTAGGCCAGCAAACACTCGGCAGGTCACCGAGAGCATAACCCCCACAGCAGTGTTGTGTTTGATGATGCTGGTGTTTGATGAAGTTAACTGCTTTCATGTGCAATGCCAGTGAGGTTCTCTCTACTGTTAGGGTGAGTGATGTCCACATTCTGCCGGGTGAGACAACCTTGCAGTTAGATAACCGGCAGCGTGCTTGAAATATGATAGCAGCACCAAGACCATTAGCCACTGGGAAGGTTGCAGGTCCTGGCACTGTGAGGTGAGCATGACTGGGAGTTTTTGAGAACAAGCCGTTTTACTCGTAGAAGAGCAAGAAGTGAAAAGAAACTGTGTTCCATTACCATAGCATGAGGTCAGGTCTGTCATCCGCCAGGGAGCTACATGCTGCGATCAGGAGATACACGGAACATTCTTTTGCAGCTTAAATGGTTTAGTGTAATGTTCCACAACCGATTCCCCAGGGATCGCCAGACAGCCCACATTTCTGCTCCTTCCCAGCTCCCAGCATATCTTAATTAATCAATCAAGAACCAAAAATACCCAGTACAGGTGTGTTGTGAGCAGGGAGAGTTGGATAGGGTGGACTGTCTGGGGACCTCTGAGAAATGGGTTAAGAAACTCTGGTTTAGTGTGATTTCATTGCTCTCCTTAGTCAACTCCAAGCTTGTTCTTACTTCCTTAGTTGACTCGCATCACAGTTTACTTTGTAGTCTAACTTTTGCAGGACCATCTGTACCAGGAATATTTTGATTACAGTCACCAGCAAAAACATCACCTCTAGGCTGAGACTCTCAAGGTCCTCCACCATGCTGGATGTTCCTGTTTGGAGGTAGTCCAAGCAGTAGTAGCTGGCCTGAGGGTAATAAACAGATGTTCTGCCCTGCAGCATCCACCATTGACTGTGTCCCAAGTCTTTTCGCTTAAATTTATTTGAGAATATCCATATCTCTTGAAATGGACGGCTGTCGGGTGGAGTTATGACCTTTGGCCATCTTCAGAGGAAGAGTCAGGAGACTCAGGTCATTCATATTGAGTCCTATCCATAGTATCACCTAGTCTCTCTATTAATCAGAAATGTTTATTTTCTGTTGCATCTCAATCCTCTACTTCATAGACCACATTGATGGATATTTTGTAGCTTTTTTGTACGATAGATCTCTGTTTTATTGCAAAATACCGTATGTTTATGTCATACTACATTATATGCAAAGGCATTAATTGGTATACTCAAAATTACAAATCAACCAAATTCTTGATTTTTTAAAATTTACACAGAGTGGCATGCTCATATTTGTACTGTAATCATAATAATGACACTTTAGCAGGTATTTTGCTGTTTATGTATTAGCAGGTATTCTGCTGTTTATGTATTAGCAGGTATTCTGCTGTTTATGTGTTAGCAAGTATTCTGCTGTTTATGTATTAGCAGGTATTCCTGCTGTTTATGTATTAGCAGGTATTCTGCTGTTTATGTATTAGCAGGTATTCTGCTGTTTTGCAGGGTAAATCTGATGCCAATTGACTTGTGCTCTTCTCATCTGCAGTCATTCCCCACGGAACCGTGACACATCATACTTACAAGATGTGCAAATGTATTCTTGCTTTTTCTCAAGTTCCTTGCCTCCAACTGCATTGTGTCAGGACCCCCCTCCCCACCTCCCATGCAAAAAGCATTGCCTTGTCCCTCTGGCTCTCCCACCTTGTGGTCTTGGTTGGTGAACCGATGCATTTTCAGGAACTGTTTCTGGTAAAGACACATGACGAGTTCCTCTCATCCACCAAATAAACAACCCAGACTATTTAACAGGGTTTACCCTGGTATAGATCAGGAATGAGTCAATGCTTGATTCTCTTTGTGTTGCTGGTTGTACATCATCTGGTTTCAATGAGCTGTCAGATAAGAGATACGGCTGTAAACTTTTCCTACTACTGAGGGGTCATTAAGTGATGCCTCTGACCACAGCATGGTCTCAATGAGTCAGACATCCATAGGTAGACCTACTCCTAATATAACAGTGTACACTCTGACACCCTCTCAGGTCAGTGTACACTCTGACACTCCCTTAGCTTATTGTACCGTCTGACACTCTCTCAGGTCAGTGTACCCTCTGACACTCTGTCAGCTTATTGTACCCTCTGACACTCTCTCAGCTCAGTGTACACTCTGACACTCTCTCAGCTCAGTGCACACTCTGACACTCTCTCAGCTCAGTGTACCCTCTGACACTCTCTCAGCTCAGTGTACACTCTGACACTCCCTCAGCTTATTGTACACTCTGAAACTCTGTCAGCTTATTGTAGCCTTCCAAACCTGCCCTTCATGTCTCCTCCCTGTTTGGCCAGCAGGTGTCACTGGCCATCAGTGTGTCCTCCTCCCTGTCTCTTGCCTTTCAGCCCCAGTGAGCCTAAGTCTCTCGTGTGTTTCCCCTGTTCCCCAGAGCACTGCTTAGCAGTGGTTTGAGTGTGTAGCTCAGAGACTGTTGCTTCTCTGGTTATGGGTTTGAGGCCAGCCTAATCTGTTATTTTGTATTTATTTGTTTTCTGTTTCCCTAGTGTTTATTATTTTCCATTTGTTTCCCTGTCCAAGGTTTGCTATGCTTGTGTCTTGTGGCCTGTACCACAAAGTGGGGTTACTGGCTCATCGGGGTAACTTGTTGCATTTAAGGTAGTCTGGGCAAAATGTAAGTGAATGAATATGAAGTCCATTTAAACTGTGGTACCTTAAATCTGACAAGTTACCCCGATAAGCCAGTAACCCCGCTTCGTGGTACAGGCCCCTGTTCTCTTCTAATCCTGTTTGTATTTTTGTTCCCTGTTATTATCTTTATGTAGCCTTCCCAGTGTCTTTGTGTTTTCTAGGTACAGTGCTTGTTAATCGTTCCATCCTTTGCTCGTTGTCTTGCGCCCTCTGTGATTGGTTGTTTGTCTAATGTTCCTGACCTTGCCCCTCTAGTTATCCCAGTTGCATTTTGTACTGAAGTGCCTGTCCCTGCTCAATTCTTTAGTCAGTAATTTTCTGCTAATGTTGCTCTGTGTTGTTACTTGGCCTGTTTCTGAGGTTCTGTTCCTTGTGTTGCCAGTGGCCTGTACTACAAAGCAGGGTTACTGGCTTATCGGGGTAACCTGTCAGATTTAAGGTACCACAGTTTAAATGGACTTCATATTCGTTCACTTACATTTTGCCCAGACTACCTTAAATCCAACAAGTTACCCCGATAAGCCAGTAACCCCACTTCATAGTACAGGCCACTAGTTTCCTTTGTAGTGTTTTCCATACTTAGTTCAGACCTCTTGTGGTCCTGTTATTTTGTGATCTTCCCAGTGTGTGTTTGTTTTAGTTTCTTCAATATACTCCTTTGTGTCTAAGAGCCCCCAGTGGATTGTCACCCTTTTTTCCTGCCTGTGCCTTGTCCTGCCATAACAACCAGTGTTCACTCTGAAAATCTCTCAGCTTGGTGTAAGTTCTGAAACTCTCAGCAGCTAAATCTGCTTTATTCAGACTGATATACTGAAAGGAATCAGCTTGGAGTCACTTTTTATTAAAATTCATGAACTTTTAAGATTTGCAAGGATATAAACATAGACATGTCTTTATGCAAAAAACATTTTCAAGGTTTCCTTTTAAACCTGTTCAGAAAACAACTCAGTGAAAAGGCTGCTGATGAAAAGTCAGTGATCATTCAAGATGTGTTTCTGAGTTGCTGTTACTCTACAGGTTCTTCATTGATTTCTCTGGTATGTTGCTTGAATTTCCTGTTTTTTCCACAGCTGTCTTTGCCAAAAAGCATTCGACTGCCGACTGTGGGAATGGGAGGTCTTGTTATTGTCTGTACAGGACATGTTTGTTGTGCTAATTTCCACCCTGTTGTTCAAAGGTAATTAACAACTAGACAAACTTACACATTTTATAGACAAATCCAGTTAGTGACCTTTGTAATTGCTTAGTAATGAGGTAATCTATGTACTGGGAAAAATGTAGGCCGTGATATATGCACAAATTTTCTTTATAGTTAAACATGTTTACTTACAATAGGTTAAAACTGCCTGATGCCTTGATCTTTCCTTCAGAGAGAATAAAGGTTAAGAAAAACAAAAAAGTTCATTTTAATGGTGCGTTTCTTCCACATAGTGGTTTCGCGAATTTGTGTAGAATTTGCTGGAGGCAGAATTTAGCTTAGGAACATTTTTGTGAATGAAACATTAATTCATCATGGTCATTCATTTATGTCATGACAGTAAGTTTATGGGGTAAAAAACACTAAGTAGTGTTGCCTTAATAATCCTACTTCCTCTAGTCCTTGATGTTTCTTATAATGAATCAAAACCACAAGCTAAACCATGACTTTCTGCATACTTACGCCATTTGATCAGACCCACAGCCACCAGAAACATAGCTGACCCAGGTAACAGAATCCAGAGGCTCAGTCGTAGTATCTAAAACAACAGCATTTTTGGTATTTTCTCGCAGAAATACTGTTCGATGCTGTCTTCTTACTCACGTACTACGTACATCTTTCCACTTCTCAGAAAAATCTGGATGAGTTGCATCTGTTGGACATACAGAATATTTCATATTGTATGCAAGGACTGTAAGCTTAAATGTTGTTTCCTTAGAACAGTGGTGGCCAATCTTATCCGCAAAGGACCGGTGTGTATGCGGGTTTTCGCTGCAACGCCCTAATTAGATTACTAATTAGAGGACTGATTGGATGAAGAGCCCTCACACCTGGGTTTGGACAGCTCACCTACAGGTTATCCCAAAAACCTGCATACACACCGGCCCATTGCAGGTAAGATTGGCCACCCCAGCCTTAGAATAAACCAATGTGACGTGAATCCTTAGGGTTCATGGTTCTAATGCAGTATAGTCAATAAGGTAAATACCTTTTCTCTCAGTGCTTGCGGTAGGCAGCATCTCTGTGTTTTCATGGATGGGTCGCCATGGTGATGACGTAGGAGGTGGTGCTGATGCAGTACGTAAGAGATGTCATGATACTCAGAAATTAATATTGCAGCATTTTTTTTTTTTAGCACGAGCATGAACATAGAAACGGTAGGCGTTCCATGGCTGTCTGTGGGGGGTGTCGTATGGGGTCCTGGGGGTGTCTGCATCATGGTTGACAGTCCTTTGGAACAGTGGGCACGTATTTTCAAATCTCACTCACTGATTACATTTTCGTATTTGTGTATATATACATCTGTGGAAGGTTACAGGATGAATATATCTGTTAATTGGTTTTTTTTCTTTGGTTGATCAGCACAGAGAAGATGCAGGAGCTGGAGTTAATACTGCATGTAAGAGCTGACAATGTGATGCGGGAGAAGCATTACTGCAAGTCGCAGAGCCGAGAAGTTTGACACTTGAGTCGTGGTTTTTAGCGTCAACGTATAAACTGAAACGGGAGGTGCTGCTGTACCAGGAGAGTGGCCTTTGAAAGACGCTGGATGCACCGGCGAGGGCAGCATGGCAGCAGAATCTGTTTTCACTGGAGCAGCTGGGGGCATATGGGTACAATCCTGTTACATAATAATTGAGCTTCATACACCAAAAAAAGTCCAATTTTGTGTATATACCCAGCAATAGGTTTGATCCAGGGACCTCATTTCTGGGTGTAATCTGAATCTATGTGTGTGCACCATTTTTACTGTAGGTAAAAGGTGTTATATGACTGTAATGAAGGCAGTTCTGGAGGGTGTGTTTTTCTCTGGTGGGTGTCCCTGTGGTCTCCAGGTGTCGGCCGAGTAGATGACTGAGTACGTGTATATGTGTTGGGGGTGCAGTGGAGACATCAGTGTAACAGATATTTAAAATAAAAAGTTCGAATTACAACATGTAAAGGGGAACTTTGAGCATAATGTTCACTGTACAGTAACAGCTGCCCTTGATATTCTTTGGGGGAAATTCACTTCCTCTTTGTGTTTGGAATTGTATCCTGTGCCATTGTTTCCCAGCTTCCAGAATTTTTTTTCCATAATCCTCTGGTTTGTTGACTTGCATCCACCCTATTTTGGATTCTTACATACAAACAGAATCAGAAAATGTAACTGTGCGGGATGAGTGCTGTGTAATGCTGTGGACCCCCTGTGTCCCGGAAAACACCTTTCCCCCCCCCCACACCGGTTATAATGTTGTTTCTCTATGTGTTCTGCAATGGCTACAAAAATTATCAGTGTTTATTATGTTTTAATTTGCTTACACCACCAAACAATGTGACTTCTTTTGAACATGAACAAGGTTTCGCTCCACTATATCCGGCTACTTCTCCTCAGTTTACGATACTGCTCTCAAAAGAGAGGAGGGCTGTCTATGAACAGAAGAAAAAAATCTAAAAACTAAATCTAAAACTAAATGGCAAATGGCTCTAAAATTATAAACCTGACAATCATTAAACGTGAGTGTAATAAATTACAGTCATTTTAAGGTATTAGCTTTCAACAAAATAAAATGGATGTTGCAAATTGCGATATTTTTCACAATGTTTTTAACTGAAACGAATGAAGTAACAATTATTCCTCGTATTTCCATACATCAATTTCCCCATGAGATGCTTATATTGGGATTATGTACTGTATAACGTCATGACCGAAGCTCTTGCGCTATTTATAGCAATTTTTTATTAAAGTTGAAGTAAATCGATATAAACGGTAACTGTCATCCTATATCTTGTTTTGGAATAATATATATATTCATTTGGAGGAAAACATTAACATATTTGAGTGTGTATATGTCTTCAGGAAGTCAAAGAGGACACTGAGGGTTAGGGGACCGTTTAGAATTGCTGTATATCTATTGAAAGCTGATTTATGGCCATAATGAAAGTTATACCATGAGTGTCCATGGCTGTACTGGTCAGTGTCCTTGTGGTTTCAGTCGGCGCAGTTGACGTCATGGGAGCCTGTGTTGTCGTTGGAGGTCCTGTAGTGGTCTGAGGCTCTGTCGGCGCAGTTGATGTCACGGGAGCCTGTGTTGTCGTTGGAGGTCCTGTAGTGGTCTGAGGCTCTGTCGGCGCAGTTGATGTCACGGGAGCCTGTGTTGTCGTTGGAGGTCCTGTAGTGGTCTGAGGCT